AAGCATTCAAAGGTATAGGAAGGTAGAAATAACAGAATGGTTTTTATCATTTACAGTTTAGAAATGATGCAACATGTTTCCTAAACATACCAAGAGGACATCTTTATGCAGACATTAAATAATATATTAGTAAAGGAATACAGAGTCTTCTAAAATTCTCTGACTCAGGAATACCGATGAGAAAATAATAGTGATTTGATAATTGCTGAAGCAGAGTGATTGACACTTGATTATATTATTTTATTTTAAATTATTTATGAAAATTTAAGAAAATTAGTTTTGTTGGAACTGTCTTTTGTTGTCTGGAAATGATATTCCAAAAGGTCAACTTCAAAATACCTACCCAATTTCCACTTGGACATAAAGGAATTCATGAATGGCAGACATCAAATGGTAATTTTAACTCCTAGAGAAAATGTGTACACAATGCCCTGATCTGTGACCATTATCTGGGCGGCAATTTGCTAGATTTCAAGTGTTTCATCAGAGTATTTTTATGCAAAATAGCAAAAGGTTCCATGTGCATGTAACAATGTTCACCTTTTAATACCAAAGCTAATTGACTTCCATCTTTTCTGAGTGCACAGGAGCTAATAGCAGAGGTCAATGTTAGATCTTTATATGGTACCATTTTTTGAGGAAGCTAGGCAGCCATGAGGATGACATTTTCCAGAAACAGTAAATGTTTATTTTGAAAAAATAACCAAGCTTTTGAAAAAGTAAATGAGCTCAGTGGAACTAAAATTTATCTTTTATATTGGATCTTCGTGTCCTGATTCCTATATTTCTTTCAGCACCAATATCAGGAATGCTCTTGGAGAACTTTATTCATCTTCAAAATACTCCATACAATATTGCTTCTTACTAAAGAACTTATTACAAAGCCAAAGAAGGGCACGGTGGGATCAAACAATTTATTGATCTTACCATATTCTTCTTGACTCAGAAGGAGATTTCCTGCCCCCACAAAAACATTGAATGTCCTCCTGAGAGATAATAATTTAAAATTTGGAATATTTTCCTATGAGTATAAACTCTATTTGACATCATACACTATGTTGCTTTATCCTTAATCCACTACTTAAAAAGAAAAATGCACTGCTCATTAATATTTTTTCCATGCAGTTAACTTTAGGATTTGTTGTTGAGAAATATGTTTCTCAACATATTAGAAAAACGTAGAATAACGTCGGTTTGTCCTTTCTCTCTGTCTCAGGGAGCTTAGGTTTATTAAGTTACACCATTCACAGTGCTCCCAAGGCACTGTCATTCCTCTGTTTTTGCCTTTAACTTCTCTGTGCTCTGCTTTCCCAACGAGTTAATCACCATTTACCCCTAAGCAGTACCTGTGACTTGTAAAGCAAAATTCCTCAGAGATCTCTGATTTTGTATTTGTAAGTACAATATTGCTTTTATCCTTCTCTCATGTCCATTTGCATAGTTTTCTTCAGAGCAATGTCCTTTTTGTATAGACACAGGAAGAAAGTTAATGCTATGCTTTTATAACTTGGAGTTAAGTGACTCCAAACAATCGTCACTCCTGAGCACCACTTTTCTTGACTCATGCCTCTGTTGCCGTTAGTTCCTAGCATGCCAAAATCAGGTTCCCGACAAGGAACTGGATGGACCCAGGGCAAGCTTTGAACTACCCTGGCATCAAAATAGGCCAGGCCAAGTGCCATAATACTTAACTATAAGTTAAGAGCATGGTCATGGACAAATTTTGTCATGATTCAAAGAGTAACAACTGGATTTGGAACCTGCTAGGGTTAGGAAAGACTAATCTGACCTGAGCACTGTAGTCTGAGATCTGTAGAGAATGTCTCCATGAGAGCAACCCTACGAGCTTAATATAGCTCTTGCTGTGTCCACACAAAATGACTAGAAAAATTATTTAGAAGTAAGTAAATCTAAGATGGTTGTTGGACTAAAGAAAGGAGAAACACACCTCAACAAGGTATTTTGCCCTTGAGCAGATCTCCTAGCTGTGGGAGATCTTTGTCTTATTGAAAGGAAGGGCTTTCATATGTTGATTGTGCTAACTGACCTGGGTGGAGTTACTACCTGGAATGCTTGGAGGTTGGGCAAGAGACTCAGGTTGCAAGACAGAGTGTGGAGAGACTACCATGGAGGAGATGAGAAAGAGGGGCAGTGTGAGACTGGGATGGAGCGCTTAGTGAGACTGGAACAGGCATGTGGGGAAAATGGAATAAATGGCAACTGATCACGAACCAGCCTGGCAGCCCTGTTCCCTCCTTTATACATCTGTTGAGAGAGGTTGCAGACCGGGGTGGGGAAGCAGCTCATGACCACTGAATGCATGTGGTGGGCAAGAGAGAGACCATCACCACCACAAGAGCCACCAAACTCATTTATTTTATTATTACACATATTTTTATAATGAATACTGTTTTAATCAGAAGACGAAATTCTTTAATTAAAGAGGATATTAAGTCTGCCACCTGATCATTGGGAGCTCCCCATTTCACTGAAAGAACAAAATCAGAATGTCTTCTATGTTTCTCACTCCTATTAACAATGGGTACCTATAATTTTAGGAGGGATAGATCTAGATTACCAAAAGTACTTTGGTTTGCTATTCTATAGTGAAATTTGGAAGAACTGTGTGGAGAAGCTTGGAAGTTTCCCTTCATGTCTCTTAGAACCTTAATATTTATTAGTAAAAACCAGTGTAAATCCATGTTACTCATAAGATAGCTCCAAAAAAAGACTGATGAATAAATATTTTCTCACCCTTAGCAGGTAAAGTTTCACACTAACCAAGATCCTTTGGGGGGCAAAGACAACATAAATAAGTAGTTTTGTTTTTTGAGCCACATCTGGTGTTAATCAGGGCTTACTTCAGACTATATTAAGGCATTACTACTGGCACTACTCAGGGTCCCATACTGGGTGCTGTGGATGAAACCTGGTCAGCTGCACACATCACCCAACTTGCTATACTATCTCTTCTTATAAGGAAAAAAGAATAGTGACAAAAGTTATAATATAATCTGTAGATAACAGCATTCAAGTAGAATTGTGAATCTGAATTAAAACTGACTAATTGTAAGTTTGCAATAATATTGTCAGTAATAAGATTTTGAGTTTTCCATTTTTCTTAAATGAGGCTACTTCTGGTAGTGGTGAGAAACCACCAACAGTGCTCAGGGGCCCAAAAAGTGACAGGATTCAGGCCCAGAGTTTTGCATATGCAAATCATTAAGCTGTACAGCTTGAACCATATCTTCAATTTGTGATTTTCATTTTTGAGAATAATTTTATTAATATAATTATTTTATTATTCATAGAGTAGTTGACTATTGAGTGCAGAAGCATTAGTAATCAAGGGTCATTGTAATTTTTGATGGTATTAAATTTTAAAATCTGACTGGTCTTTCCAAACAGACAAACACATAGGGAGTAAACAGTCAAATGTTTAAGTGGTAAAAGCAGCTAAAAGCAGTAAAAGCAGCTAAGGAATGCAATGGGTATGTATAACTTCATTAGAAGGGCATATATGAATAATAAGTAACCAGAGAATTAAATATATTAATATATTTTTCCCTTCCTCATACTTCATTATTCTTGAGACTTTTGTAAGAATAATTAATTCTATGATTGGGAAGCTAGGTATTAAATATTTCAGGCTCCTTTTCCAGCTAGTTTCTAAAGTTATTCCTATAGAGACATTGGGAGAAGATCAGAAGGAAGTGGAGCAACACTATTAATATTTTAATCTTTTCTCTTTTTGGAAATAGAAATACTACTTCAAGGACCATAGTTTCAGCAGTAGTAACTACACTATTTATGGTTCTATCATTGACTCAGTCTTTATGATGATACCATCTGTAGCATAGCCTTTAACTCCAATAAAGCAACTTATTCTTGTCACTGAGAGAGAAGTTGTGAAGTTGCTAATCTTTGGTTTAACTTTATTTTATCTCTTTCATTTGGTATTTCCAATAGCTATCTCACCAACTCCACATATCAAATCTTATTTGTTTAAACTTGCATTAGTAGTTTATTTTTTCCTACCAGAACCTTATTTGATTGATATCATCAGAAGAGACTGGTTCATTTTCTTGCATCAAATTCATATGAAATTTAGAATCCAAATAAAAGGTGAACATTTCTTTCATGCATTCTCTTAAAAAGATAGTTATCTCTTTTGTTTTTTCAAGATGGTTGAACAAGCAGAACCTTAGAACCACTTTCTGGCAACTACAGTAAAAACTAAACCAAAACTTGCATTAATCGCAGGATTTTGCTTGGGTACTGTCAAACTTCTACAGAGAAAACATGGTTGGGGACCCAGATAATCAAGATCTTTGATTGGTCATCATACAAAATCCTTAGAAGGACATAACTAACCTGATTGATCATCCTACAAACCCTCATAAGCACAAGGATGTAGCCCTTTAAAGGGTGCACAAAATCTGGTCTTTCCAAATAGACTGTTTACAGAGGGAATAAACAGTCGAATAGTAAAAGCAGCTAAGGGAGGTAATGCCATAAACAGAGAACACTGATTAGGAGAGCAAGTACAGGAGGTGGAGAAGAAAGAAGAGATGGTACTGAGGATGAAGGGAGATGAAACTATGAGGGTGAGAAAAATGAGGAAGAAGAGTGAGCTCACACTTTCCTTCTTGTTCATTCTCATAAGCCCCTTGTTTTCTTTTGTTTTATTTTTAAAACCCTTTTCTATTGTGGTACTGGGAATTATAGTACTGTTCATAATAATTTCCATGCTTATGACTTTCTAACACAAGACCCATCAATGGAAATTCTGTTTCCCTCTGCCAGTGTCTTTAGGACCTCTCCATTAGAAGGACATAACCAATGTTTGAGAACCATCCAATGTTCGCTTAGTTCTATAGACAAAATCTTCAGTTCCGGTTACTTTGACTGTTTGTTGTTTCCTTACTATGTTTCTTTTTATCTCGTATGAGAGAGATCTCTTCTCTTTCTAATTTATTTATATCTCATTTTATTATTTTTTCAAATAGGAGCGCTGCACGGGTTTGTGTCATCCTTCACAGGGACCATGCTAATCATTTCTGTATTATTCCAATTTTAGTGTCTGTGCTGCCAAAGCGAGCACGACTTTTTCAAAAAAAGAAAAACCTTTTGGCTGTTCAAACAAGATGGTTGTTTTGAGGACATGAGTCTGCTATCTTCCAACTTGCCAGCTTGTTGCCAATAAAGCTCTTTCTCAACCTGTCCAAAAATAATAATGAACATTTTAAAAATAAATATAAAATGTGGATCCCTGCCTTGGAAAAACAAGCCGTTATGAAGAAAATTCTGAGGGACTGAGAATCTGGAAATAAAGATTATTGTATCAAACTGTTGGCATCCAAACCCTGTACTCCTATTCTATCACTAGTGAATGTCAGGAGACTATAAGAAATATTTTGGGCTCAGAATTAGCTGCTGTCACCATCTCAGTGATGTTGCTAGAAGTTGTCAATTTGATCTCTCTTCTTAGAAGCAGATCCTAAAGAAAAATTCCTGAGATAAACTTAGTTACCCAGCCCTTGGTCAATTGCAAGCAAACTGGAGGTTGAGCCTGCATGTCTAATCTAGCTAAACAAACCCAGTTCTTCTCGGTTCATAGGTGATTACTATCAAGCCAGTTAGCAAGGGAGTCTTCCTGATTGGTGTGCTTCCGTTCAGCTCCTGAGGACATAATTTGTGACTGAATCTTCTTTAGTCTGTTCCTCCTGAGCGCCATCCCCACCCCCAGGTTATGCAGCCATGCACAGGACTGTGTCACCACAGTAAGGTCGACTAGAGCTGCCAGTCTAGAGATCTGAAGACCTGATTGACACATAGGCCCTCCTAATATTGGTGCATAGGTGTTTTCAGGCTTGCTCTTGAGCTGTTTTGTGATCATCCGTTCTATTCCTAAGTATCTGTCCAACAAACAGAAAAAACACTATTTTCAAAAAGTATCTGAATGCCTGGTCGGCTGCTAGCAAGGCAGTGATAGCCTGGAGTGATAGCACAATTGGTAGGGCATTTGCCTTACATGCAGCCGACCTGGGTTCGATTCCTCCTTCCTTCTCGGAGAGCCTGGCAAGCTATTGAGGGTATCTCACCCTCACAGCAGAGCCTGGCAAGCTCCCCGTGGCATATTCAATGTGCCTAAAACAGCAACAACAAGTCTCAAAATGGAGACATTACCGGTCCCTGCTTGAGCAAATCAATGAACAATGGGAGGACAGTACTACAGTGCTACTTCATCTAAATGCCTATGTTCATTGAGGTATTGTTTACAATAGCCAAGATCTGTAAACAGTCCAAGTTCCTATTGACAGATGAGGATGAGCAGCCAAAGAAGTTATGGTATATATTAACAATTTAATACTACCCATGCACAAGGAAAGGTGAAATATGTAACATGTAACTAGAAAATGTACTAAGTAAGTCAAAGGAGAAATACAAATATTGGGTGATGTAGCTCATAATTAGTGTAAAAAATATAAAGCAAAGGAACAGACAATATCTAATGGAAAAGAATAGCTACTAATGACAGAACATTGGTGGGCAGGTGGACAGGAAGATGGAACGTGGCTGAAGGGGAATGGCACTTTGATGGTGGTTATGGCTCGATAATTTTGTGCCCCATAACTCTCAACTGCTTTTTATCAAATTACTGTTTGATAATACTGTACACTGTTATAATCGACTATAAACCCAGAAAGAGAAAATTGAATTGAAAAATATAATTTCTTGAAATTATAAAAGTGTTTTTGTCCCATGTGAAAACTCCATCAGGTATAAATTTCTAAATCAAATGCTATGGTCAGGGAATTAATGAGAACTTTGAATTCAGTCCTGATTGTCTTCTGAACCAATAATGTCTGTGACAAAATCAAAGGGAGATCTATAAACCAGACCTGGTCTTAGAGCTAGTGGTATGATTAACACACCTGCAACATTTTTACCATATATTTTAAAGTTATACAACTGCTAGAATGGAACTAGAGAAAGACTTACTAGATAAGCGACAGGTACTCTGTAAGATCTCCTTACATTATTACCTCTTTACTTGTTAGCTTGTTTCATTAAATTATGAGATCATTGTGTGCTGAAAATAGATAAAGGATCAAACCTAATAACCTCTCAGTATCTATATTGAAAACTATAATGTCCAAAAATAGAGAGAGTATGGGGGAAATTGTCTGCCATAGAGGCAGGGGGAGGGTTGGAATGGGGGGTTAATAATGGGGACATTGGTGGTGGAGATTGAACACTGGTAGAGGGATGGGTGTTCAATCATTGTGTGAATGAAACTCAAACATGAAAGTTTCGTAATGGTATCTCATGGTGATTCAATAAAAAATGGGGGAGGGGAACTATGAGATCATGAATGAAATAAGCTGTACAATTTTTTTCGAAATAACCAACATCAGAGGTTTGTATGTCACGTAAATAGTAAAGTGTCCAAAATTTCTTGAATCAATAAGAAAATCAATGTTATAAAGCATTGGAATATTTTTTAATAAGGATGAGCTTGGACATTTAGTAAACACATAATAATGCAACCAGGCACTGTAGCTTTGTAGCACTGTCCTCCTGTTCATTGATTTGCTCGAGCGGGCATCAGTATCATCTCCATTGTGAGACTTGTTTCTGTTTTTGGCATATCGAATATACCATGGGGAGCTTACCAGGCTCTGCCGTGTGGGTGGAATGCTCTCGGTAGCTTGCCAGGCTCTCTGAGACTGCTGGAAGAATATAACCCAGGTGGGCCATGTGCAAGGCAAACACCCAACCCGCCATTCTATAAAAATCCAAACAAGATTAAAATACCCACTTATTACAGGATAAGGTTTTACTGCTACCCCTCAAGGTAGGGACATAGCCTAGAACCTGGTGAAAATATGTGCATAAACTTTCTTTGCTTGAAGAATCTTGAAACAAACAGGTATCTACTGCTTCTATTTAGTCCCATAACTCAAACCCAAGTCTTCAATATGCTCAGTTTCCAGTATCACTTGATCACTTGATATCCTGTAACTCATCGATTTGCTCGAATGGGCACCAGTAACGTCTCCAATTGTCCTTGTCAAGTGCTAGTGTAACCCAATGGCATCTGCTCACTCCAGGAACACTAAGAGCCTCAAACCATTCATTCAGGGTCTTGACGAAGAAGTCTGACCATCTTGTAGGTGGACAGCCACACATTCTTTGATGTCCCGTAGAATCCAGTCAGCAACAGCTCTAGTCCAGCGGTCGTCTTCAAATCACATTACGTATCCAGCCCATCTGATTTTCGATGCTTTGGCAAATGAGAGTGTCCCTGATTCTCAATCTTAGATGGAGGTCAGAACTCTGAATTCCTTCTCTCACTTGAGTGAAGTGTGATACTCCAATTATAGCTCTTTTGATTCCTCTTTGGGTGACACAAACAGCATTTTAATCCTGTTTTCGTAGGGACCAGATCTCTGAGGCGTATGTTAGTGCAGGGAGAAGCATGGAATCAAAGAGATGTGCCCAAAGCCATAGGTTCTTTGTCCTCTTGGCTATTTCTTCGACTCTCTTGAAGGTGTTCCACGGTGCTCTCTTGCTCCTGCACAGCTCAAGTGCCAAGTCGTTCGGCATGTTGAGTTCTTGACCTAGGTACACATAACTGTTGCATTCAAAGATGTTCGTTCCATTGAGAGCAAATGGAACATAAGGAACTAGTCCGTTTCTCATAAACATTGTCTTGGTGAGATTCAGCTGAAGTCCGACCATTCCACACTCAAAGTTGAAGTCAGTCAGCATTTGTGCCACTTGGCTAATGTTTGGTCTTATTAGAACTATGCCAACAGTGAAGCAGAGGTGGTGTAGTTGACGATTGTCTATCTTCACTCCCATTCCATCTCATTCCAAGTCGTCGCATGACATTCTCGAGGGTGACACTGAAGAGTTTCGGTGAAATGGTATGACCCTTCTGGACCCCTCTCTTGACGTTGATGATCGCTTCCTTAAAATTATGACATCCTGGTAGTGAATCCATAACACAGCTCACAGAGGATCCTGATGTATTGAGTTTGAACACCCTGTTTGGCTAGGGCTTCGATGACCACTTCCATCTCAACAGAATCAAAGGCCTTCTTTAAATTGATGAACGTTAGACAGAGTGGCATCTTGATCTCCTGAGAAACTTCAATGAGTGTGGATATGGTTGATTGTGCTGAATTCTTTGAAGAACCCAGCTTGCTCATTGGTTGTCCTTCATCTAGTGCACTGCCAATACTATTCAGGATGACACGAGTGAACAGCTTGTAGACAATGGACAACAGGCAGATTAGGTGATAGTTGTCAATGTCTTGGATGTCTCCCTTATTGTACAGTAGAAGAGTCCTTCTGGTTTACCATTGGGATGGAACCTTGCATTCAGACAGGTAGCGTGTGAAGCGCTGAGCCAGTGTATCGATGTGTACTCACAGCAGATTCTTCAGGTGTTCAGGTCTGACCTTGTCTGGGCCAGGTGCTGTTCACTTCTTTACTGATGAAATGGCATGTTGGACTTTGGGAGGGAGAACATTGGGAACGACATATCCATCCTGCAGAATTTGGGATGTGGGCAGATGGACATAGCTATTGAAGAGATCCGAGTAGAATTTATGGATAATCTTCTCCATTGCCCTTCTGGAAGATGTGATGGATCCATCAGACATTAGAGGCCAGTCATCTTGGTCTTGCAGTTGGCAAAGAACTGACAGACATTGCGAATACTTTTTCATGATTCTGCTGCATCGGCCAGCACTGCTGCTCTTCTCTGAGGTCTTTCTTTATTGCTTCCCTGTACTGCTTTGCAGCTCGGACTTCAGCTTGTGGTTTCCTGAGACTCGAGCCAAACCATGTTGGTGAATGAGCTCAAGAGTTTCCAAAAACAGGCATCTTTTTGTGGCTTTCTCTCTCTCGGTGTTCCTCACACAATCATAGAGGTGCTGAACCAGTCGATCATATTCCTCATTGGTGTTGTCAATGACAACATCTTTTCATGTTGCTGCAATAGTGCCAAAGAGCTTCCAGGTGGTGGTCGTTCTGGGAGTTCTCTTCTTAAACTTTGCAGCCTTTTCACCATACTCCATGAAGTAGAAT